TAGTTATAGCCAAATACAACATTGATTTTTATAAGTTATTCACAAGGCTTGATCATTCTCTAAGTTTATTTTCATCTTTCACGCTTTCTTAAGGATAAGATTCTTGATTGTTTATCATTACTAGAACAAGCACAAACTGCCATACCCCATGTCTGGAAGGCGGTACACCTCAGCAACACGGGATTTGGTGAAAGGATATGAAGGTCTGTTTTGTATTCATAAAGAGAAACATGCATATACAAAGGATACAACATGATATATATACACTAGAGTAAACAAATGAAGTGAATTTAAAAGGCTAATTTATTAATAAAATGCATATGACTATAACATCCAAATAATAATAGTTTCAATACAAGCCAAAAACGGAATATAAATAGAACAATAAACAATAAAGAAACTACTTAACCCTCATAGTCAAAACATAATAAACTATTACACTATTAATACAAAAAAGAAATAGACTACTATTGGTAACTCTGCTTATGAGGTGGCGGTCCATCAAACATGCCTACAAGACCGCTGAAAAGAAAACAGGTGAGTTTGATAAATCAAACTCAGCAAGTAACTCCTATTTATTAAAGTATAAATGACAAAGGACTATGACATGCAATATAAACAACCAAAAGGGAGGAGAATAATTAATAACCTTTAGTCACCAAATCAAAGTAGCTGTGAGATATGCTATGTTTATATGAAAGACTTTAATATGCTAATGTAACTAATGCACATATTGAAATGTTGCACACATAATTTCAGTTATTTAGAAAATATTAGAAATGATCTTTCTTTATTAGATTTAAATGAGAATTTGACTTTTAACATAACACAATGGAGAAAAAGGATTCATGTAGTCGACCCCACATAGTGCGATAAAGTCTTGATGTTGTTGTTGTTGTCATGTTCACTTATATTTTCTTATATATATATAATTAACCTAATTTATTAAAGAAATTAATTCAAAATTAAATAAATGTATTAAAGAAAACACAGAATAATGTTTACACTAATTAGACACTGTACAACTAACACTAAAATCCAAACTCCTAAAAAGCTAACCAAAATAAAAAATAGAAAGAAAGGCTCCAAAATCCTAAATTAAACCCCTCTAACTCCTAGTAAGGCTCCAACTCCTGACAAGCTACAGCTCATGGTAAACCTTATAGCTACCTGTGAGGTCTCCAAACTTCTGTAAGCTACGAGCAACTTCAAACAAGTAGACGAAAATCAACTCAGGGCAAATAAAAAAAACTAGTGCTGGAAAGAACATAACATGTATTGTTAAAATAAAACTAGTGCTGGTAAAACATGTACTAGTAAAGAAGGTGCTAGAAAAAATCAAAATTAGTACTAAGAGAACAAATATGTACTAAAATAGACTAGTATTGAAACAAACAAATAAAGCTATTGCTGAAGTAGGAAAGCTACAAGCACTGCTACGAGCAAAATCACTATAAAATAATGAAAGCTAGAATAGAAAGCACTAGTGTCAGGTGGTAGGGTGTGTTACTCTACAGTCAACCCAATAATAAACTAGTAGCGAAATTAGGATAAATCCCAACTAAATTAATGTACGCAACCTCCCAAGGGGAGCTACAAAAACTCTTATGGGGAGTCATAAACCCTCCCAAGGGGAGCAACAAAAAACTCCCTAAGGGGAATAATCAAATCCACTAGTTACTGTAAAAGGGAAGCAACAAATCCTACAAACTAAATGCTATTTGGGCCACATTTAATAGAGGCCGTAAGACCAACTACTCATGCTACTTCTAATAGAAGCTATAAGACCTACATGCATCCAAAACCTCTTGGCTACTTCCAAGTGAAGTAGTAAAAACTGTTTTAACCCACGCTTGGGCAACCTCTAATAGAGGCCATAAGACCTGCTACACGGGCTACTTCCAAGCAAAGTCGTAAGTCCCACTACACAGGCTACTTTCAAGAGAAACCGTAAGACCCACTGTACGAGCTACTTCCAAGCGAAGCCGTAAAACCCGCTACATGTGCTTCTTCAAAGCAAAACAGTAAAACCCGTTACACGGGCTACTTCCAAGCGAAACCGTAAGACCCAATACACTGTCTACTTTCAATGAAAGTTATAAGCCTAGACCCAAACCCAAACTACAAAAAAACTCCTAAATGAGACCTGAACCAAATCCAAACTACAAGAAACTCGTAAACGGGATCATACGACCTTACATAAATTTAAATTACGGGCAACTCTTAAGTAGAGCCACAAGTCCCAACCTAAACTATAATAAAATTAAAACTCACACCTACGCATTTTAATTTACTCAAGATCCTTGAGAGAAGGCAACCCATGACTGCTAATCAAATTCCCTTGACACTACAATCAACGGTTGTTAGGATTGGTAGACTGAAACCTACGGTATATCTGGGACGACGGAACCATGAGATCTTGATCGTGTGTACCTTCATCCCTTACAACCAAGACAAAAACACTTGTACACTTCTGCACTTCTTGCACAATTAAATATACTTTCATCTTTAATTTAGAAGTGTTTGATACACCTTAGGTTTCACAAATTAGGGTTTGCCCTAATTTTCCTTCAAGATGAAATTTCTCCTCCAAATCCAAGAAAAAATCAACACAAGAGGGATGAGAGGAAGAACAAGAACATTTGCATTCAAAATCCAAGAGAAACAAGATACAATTTGTCCACTTCGGCCCGCATCAGTGTTCTTCTACGCTTTAGAAGAGGTAATTAACTATGAGGGCTTGCTCTCATAGGAAGTGGAACTTTAGAACTAAATAAACCCTGATGCTTATCATTAGGGGAAATCTGGTTAAATTAAAATCCAATCTACCTCAGGAAAAATAGGACCTTAGGCTAGAGAAAGTTTTATGCTGTAGCGCAGACTTTTCAAATTTCCTGAGGGTGAACAATATCAAGCATTCAAAGAAAAACCTTTTCAGGTGGATGGAAAACACTAAAAGGAAGGTTTGAGAGCCCTAATATTTAGATTCCAATGAATAGAGGGTTGACAATTACATATTCAAAAGCTATTCAACCACTCTATAATACAAAATTCTTATTTCATTGAATGGGTGGCCGACAAATACTTCTCTGGAAAGGGAGTGTTATTAAATTTTATCGCATGCAATTTATATAAAAGGGAAGGGAGTCGGCCATGACATAAATTGAATGAAAATTTGTCTTTCAATTAAGCATATGGTGATTCCAATAATGAGAGGGATCAACCATGCACATTTGAAACTATTGAAGCTTACTTTGATCGATCTTGATCATCAAATATTTGTTATTTGATGGAGGAGGCCAACCATTCAAGTATGGAGTGGAAATCTAACCCTCCATTCTATAAACATGCCTGATCTTCATCATCTTCTTGCAAGGGCTTCCTTTGCGTAGTGGAAGACGGATTGTTCATGAGTAGAGGCAGGCTAGTGGCTACTCATATGTAAATAAGGTTGGATGTGAAGTCATGCATTGTAGAAATGCACTAGGAAGAATGTTAGAGTCATAGGTCACATGTGTGCTGTGACAAGACAAGGAGCTTGTGCATTCAAGACTATGCAAAAATTTGAGCACAAAAAGGACATAGGGACACACCTGAATTGCTCTGGCAAGGAGTGTTCTTGGCATGTGCTTATCAATCTTGCTTGGCAAAGAGAGTGGGCAAAGCGTCGTGGACAAGCGACTGTTGGATCACATAAAGGTGATTTTGTGTAGTGAGTTGAGAGGCGTGAGATGGCATGGGAGGCGTAACATGATTAGGTTTACACATAGGTGATCGTTGGATGTTGTGCATACAGAAAAGATTGGGTGGTTGATGACTGAGAGTGTGCGCCCAGAGTGACGTGCATGAGACGAAACGTGCATGTTGTTGGGCTGATTTAGAGTGTTGTGAGGGATTTAATAGAGTGTAAGCACTGATGAGAGGAGGGTAGTGGTTGGTCAAGATTGCCCTAGCAAGATTGAAAGAAGAGAAGAGAAAGAAAAGAGGGTTGGTTCATGGCTCTAATATTATATAAATGATATGAATAATGGATCGCTCATTTTCTTAACTATTCAGCATAATATAATATAAAATATGATATAGGATTGGTTTTAGGTAGGTTACATTAATCCTGGCATAAATCAAGCTAGGCCAACTCAATGCATATCAAATATTTAAAGAAAACATTTGCAAACAAGGAAAGTAAATGATTATAATCAAAACATTAATTCCTTTATGCTAGTTTGGGTTAATCATTTTTCTTGTTTTTTTTTCTTTTGCAATTTTAATAATTTGATTGTTTGTGTGATTTGAGTTTGTTCAAAGTTCTTACAATCCGGATTTCTGATTTTTATATGACTTCCCATCATCATGTGATTTTCATTGATCTTGAACTTATTTATTATATTTCCATTTGGAGGAACATTAAATTATATGGTCGAATGAATTTTCCATTTTTTCTGGCTTCTAAATGAAATTTTTGTGAATTGAGAATTTATGTTTGAGTGAATGATTTTATGCATTTCATTCTAAATTTATATCAAGAAATGTAGAAACTAATATAGCTGGCATCGTTATGAAGTGGTCAATTTTGCTTTTAATCACTCAAGTAACTCTTCTGAACTGCTGAAAAATGCATTAATTTTATTTACTTTGGAAGTTGTCATTTTTACTTGTAAACTGTTGCATTTTTTGTTCGCGGAAATGTTGATTACTCCAGTAGTTTTTTCAGTAGAATAATCACCTAACAGTTTTTTTCTTTCTTTATATGTTTACTTGCCTTCTGATAAATGAATATAGTTCTTTCATAGGCTCACTCAATGTGATTGAGGAGCTTTTAGTTGAAAAACCTTCATTTAGATTTAAAAAATAAAAAAAGCACGGCTATCCGATTTTTTTCATATTCATACAACTTTCTCAGTAAAATTGTTTAGCTTCTTCAGACTGTTAAATATTTTTAGTGTGTTTATTGACTTCTTTTTCAAATTAAGAATGAACTTAGAAAACCTGATTTTAAGCAGGAGGAGCTGCAATCACTTGAAGAAGCTCAGCCTGTTTCTAGATGCTGCAACGAGTATGCGCCAAAATTTGGTTCTATTTCTGTTTTTATGCTTTTCCTTCTTTCCCTAAATCCAGTTTTTTTTTTTTTTAAACTCTTAAGTATCATACTATCATGCAATTAAAATCATGATTTGGTGATGCACTTAAGCATTATTAAATCATAAGAAGTTTAAAATCATATGAATTATTTTCTATTAGGTCCTAAAACCGAGATTTTCGACCCTTTTTACTAGCGCATGCTAATATATCACTAAATTTATACAATACTTTTAACGGTCATCAATATTCAAAAAAAGTGTCAGCGAATGTATTTTTTTTTTCTCCTGGTGGCATGAACATACCTTCCCTTGATGGAAAGATCATGCCCAAGGAGATTTTTACAATTCTGATCCATCAAATACCACTTGCTGAAGGCAATGCAGCCTAATGGTACCCTTGGCAGGGTTGACGAATTTGTGCAAAAAAAGGCAGATCCATTAATACCGCAGTATGATTCCTCAACCAGTTTTATCAACCTTTGATGTTTTGTGGTAGCTCATTGAATCAGGCATTATCTTTTTTCTTTACTTTTTTTAACAGAAAGAAGAAGAAGCGTAAATCTTGCTCCTTTATTAAGTCGCTCAGGTAATTCGACTACTTTTCTAGCTCTTTCATTGGCTTAAAGCCTTCAAACATTTAGAAACTGTAAGGATGAATTTGTGGTCAAAATGAGCGTAAGCATTGCAAAGTAAATATGGAAACTTCTTTAAATTTCTTTGTGATGAAAAAAATTGTAAAAAAATATACTTTGTTATGAAGTAAAATTTCACTACCTAGAGGCTAGAGTGTATTGGGGATCCTCGTGCCTGTATAGAAATAAATGAAATGGAGTTTTTATGTGAATCCATGCATGCTTAGATTAAGCTAGTAGCTTTAGCTGAGCATTCAGTCACCAAGCATCTTGCGTTTAGATACCTTTGAATTTTTAGTTAATTTTTAAATATATGATTTTTTTTAATAATATAAGCCAGCAGTTGTGATTGTTTGGATGCTACGGTGTGACTGTTGTAGGCTAAGTTTCACGAATCTTTTTTAACCAATAGCTGCATCCCTTGCCTTTTGATCCACTACAATATGCTTAACAGCTTCCTATGAAATGCCCAAACATTACTTTTTTTATATAATTGTGTTTTTTCGTCACAGAATATGAAAAATATAGTAAAACGTTGTTCTAATATTAGATGGGGACATCTAAAGAACACTAACAAAAATATTTTTGAGAGTAAGATTCGAGATCTTAAGATTTTGTATGTGTATGAAGAACCGAATGTTACGTGGGAAAAAATAGCTAGTAATATTAAGAATGTTGTAAAGGATGTGCTTAGAGTTTCAAAAAAAAAAAATCCTAATTATAAAAATAGTTCGTGGTGAAATCAAACTGTGTAAGAAAGATAAAAAATAAGAAGCTTTGTTATAATAATTGGTTGAGATGTAAAAACTATGAAAATTGGGAAAATATAAAGAGGTTCGTAAGGTGTTTAAGAAAGCAATATGCAATACAAAAATTTTAGCTTTTAATGATTTATAATTTATATAATATATTAGATTTTAAACAGTGTGAAAATATATGTATAAGTTAGCTTAACAAAGAGATAGGACTAGTAAGGTTATAGTTCAAGTGAAGTGCATTTAAAGATAAAGATAAAAAGTGCTTTATTTAGAAGGAGATATTCAACAAAGGTGGATGAGATATTTTACTAAGCTTTTCAATGAAGATTGTGAGAGTACAATTAACTTTAGTGATCTTAGCACTCTAAATGGAAATAGAGATTTTTATTTTTATCGGTGTATTAGTAAAACTGAAATTAGAGGCTTTAAAGAAAATAAAATGTGGAAATACTAGTGGAGTTGATGATATTCCAATAGAGGTGTGGAAATGCTTAGGAGATACAGGAATTTCTTGGATTACTAAACTTTTTAATATTATTTTGAAAACTAATAGATGTCAGATGAGTGGAGAATAAGTGTGTTCCTATTTTTAAGAATAAAGATGATGCACAAGATTATAAGAATTATAGATGAATTAAGTTGATATGTCATATGGACCATAGGTTACGACATGTTACTAATATTTCTCAAAATTAATTTGGTTTCATGCCGGGTAGGTCTACTACGGAAGCTATTCATTTATTGAAAGAGTTGATGGAGAAGTTTAGAGAGAATAAGGAGGATCTACATATGATATTTATTGATTTGGATAAAGCATTTGATAAAGTTCTAAGAGAAGTGCTATGGACAATTCTAGAAGAGAAAGGGGTTAATAATGCTTATTTTCAAGTCATTAGGGATATGTATGAAGGAGCTGATACTTGTGTTCAAATACAAGATGGTTTGTCCAAGTATTTTCCTATTTCAGTTGGATTACATCAAGGATCAGCCTTAAGCCCTTATCTTTTTTTATAGTCATGGATTTTCTTACTAGACATTTGCAAGAGGATGTACCCTGTTGTATGATTTTTGCTGATGATATTCTTCTTGTTGATAATACTAGAGAGGAAGTTGAAAGTAAACTTGAATTATGTTGGTCAACCTTAGAGTCTAAAGGTTTTCGCTTGAGTAGATCAAAAATCTAATACAAGGAGTATAATTTTAGTAGAATAGATCTAGTGGGGGGTTTGTGACTTTGAGCGATCGTCATTAATAAGTGTACTCATTTTAGAAATCTTGGGTCTATTGTTCATATTGAATAGTGATGGTGAAATAGATGGGAATATTATTGATAGAATTTAAGTTAGACGATTGAAGTGGAGGAATGCTTCAGATTTGTTATGTGATAGAAAAGTACCACTCAAACTTAAGGGAAATTTTAATGAGATGGTGGTGAGACTTGCAATGTTTTACGCGTAGAATGTTTGCCATTAAAAGAGAAGCATAATATTTAGTTAAGTGTTGCTGAGATGAGGATGCTCAGGTGGATGAGTGGATTTACTCTTAGAGACATGATACATAACAAGCATTTTCATGAAAATGTTGGAGTAGCTCCAGTGACAGATAAGATTAGAGTGAGTCGTCTTAAATGGTTTGATCATGTAAAACGACGACCTTCCGATGACCCTGTTAGGAGAGTAGATGCATTAGAATTGACCAATGTTAAAAAAGGTAGAGGTAGACTAAAAAGACTTAGTTAGAAAATATTAGAAATTACCTTTCTTTATTAGATTTAAATGAGAATTTTACTCTTAACATGATACAATGGAGAAAAAGGATTCATGGAGCCGACCCCATGTAGTGGAATAAAAGGCTTGTGATAGGAAATGCTTGTATTCACAAGCAAACCTAACCCAAATCAATTATCAAACAAAAAAAAACTGTTGTCCACAGCAAGAAAACAACCCAAACAATGGAAAATCTGAGAGGAACTTAGGAGAAAATCATAGGAAAGCAATTGCAAACACTTGTATTCCACTAGTAGATGAAAAGCACTTGCAAGATACAATTTTCCTTGAATTCGAGAGGAAGGAAATACTCTCCACAATCTCCGGCAACGCCAAGAGCCCAAAACAAACCCTAGATCTCAAAACAAGATTCAAATTCAGGATAATCCCCCCTTTTCCTCCTAACCTCCTAATTAACCATAAAGGAGTTTTACAAAATGTCTAAACATCCCCTCTCATTCAAAATTTCCCTCCCAAAACTCCTCCTTGGCCCCCCACGGGTTCCGCCTGTGCCGCTTGGTTCCACTCCTGTGCCGCTCAGCTCCGCTCCTGTGCCGCTCGGCTCCGCTCGGTTCCGCCTGGAGTAAGTGAGGACTGGTCCGGGCTGGACCGGTCCAGCCGGCCCCTCCTGGGCCGGCCTAACAGCTTGATGTTGTTGTTGTTATTGTTGTGTTTTTGCATCATAGTTGATTTGCTTCCAAAATAAATGCCGTCAAATTATTTGTGTTTAGCTTCAGAAGTTGAAAGAGAAATAAACTAAGAGTTAGGCAAACAAAAACATTTCCTAAATTTTGATAACTCTACACGGTTTGTAGCAAACCAAGTAACCCCTCATGTATTCATACAACCACATGAGCATCTATTCATGTCTTTAACAATCTTTAAAGTCTTTCAAATTTTTTTCTGTGCTAGATCAAACCTTTGCTGCAATTTCTCATGGCTCTGCTGCTCATGCCCTTGCTCTTTCCGGCTCAGAAAACCAAGACAATGTGTTTTTGATAATTTAAATAACTGCAGTTCCTGTACTGGAAATCATGGTTGCTCCTGCTGCAATTCCTGTAAGAAATGTTGTACTTTGCCTCACTGCCATTTTCCAAGTTTCACTTGTCCCAGATGTTCTTGTGGCTGTGTCTGGTACTGTTGCCCGAGCTGCAAAGAGAAGCGGTCCTGCTGCTGCGATAAAGCCTGCTGCAGCAGCCAATGTCTTTGCTGATCATCGGTTTGTTTAGTATTTCTTCTGCTTTCTCTTAGAATCATTCTTTTGATATGTCCTGTTCTTTTACAGTTACTGTTGTTTTAGTAAATATTTTTCTTGTATAATCTCTCTTCCAATGCCAGAGAGAACATTGTTAAGATTTGTTGTCTTTTAAATATGCATCTTAAATCTTTTTTTAAAATAATTGCTCTTCATAACTTCCATTGTGAATTTGATTTTATTTTAATATGGTATGATTCATTTCATTTGTATACTTCATGTTAGAAAGCTGGGAAAACCTCATTGTTTAGCAGGAAGAACAACACAAGTTGTGCCATATTGTCTGTCAAATCTTCCACTTTAAGTGGGAATATTTCTTCCATTTTTGCAGTAGTTGCTTGCTGCTAGGTTGATTTTATTCTAGGGGGATTTATATACACAACACTCAAAATTATAGACTTCATACGTTTAACATATAAATTTTATTATTTACACATATAACATATAAAATTTAAAATAACATAAAAAATAACACCCTCTTCTCCTTAATAGATAAGTTTAAACCAAAATACAATTTACTCTTTGCCAACCACAAGTACAACTGCTGCACCTCTCCTATATGAGTGAGGAAAACCCACAATTCCCTAATTTACTTGAATTTTTTCTAAAAGTGTTGAAACACTTGATTGTGACTAAAAGCTATAACCAGTAAATCAACAAAATTTAATCTCTGCAATGCAAGTTTTATAATATATGTCAAAACATGAATTTAAAGCTTTATTAAGAGATGGAGAGAGATGACACTAATTGAGACTTCAAATAAAGCTTGAGGATGAACATATTGAATATTTCTTTGAAATGATAAAACTTTTAAGCATCAATTATTTTCCTTTTTCTTTGATTTTGATTGGAATGATTAATGTTGAAGCTCTTAAAGGGCTTCTGGGTGCTCGCGAATTGTGTGACAAAAATCCTTTTACAAGCTACAAATGATATGACGATGCCAAGGGGAAAGCATGAGAACCACCAGAAGGGTTGAGTCCTTAAAGGTGGCGAAGAATAGATGACACTTCAATGCGGTGTTGTGTTCTTCAGTGAGGTGGCTGACTCAAAGTAAGCAATAAGGTCGACAATATTTAACCTCCCCATGTGTAGTTCTCACTGAGGTATTTTGATTTTCATAAACTACGTGATGTAGAACTAAATGCGTAGGCTGATGCTTAATTAAAAAATTACACTTCCACTCATTACTTGGTCGGATCCAGATCTGATGGTACCCAATCTTAAGGTCAATCTTCGAGAAAAGGGTGGCTCCTGTCATCATATCCTGATCACTAGACTCCCTATTCTCACTTATCAAGGTGGGGAGTGGATTCTTCTTTGCAATTGTGGTAATAGATCTCATCTACCACTTGTTTTGAGTTCAATGCTCTATCGCTATAATGTGTTCTTTGAGCAATGGAGCTATCCTTCTGGCTTATTCACGCATGGGTTCTCTCTAGGGAGTCACCTTCAATGCTCTATGTATCATTATTGTGATTCTTTGTTCCATTTCCATCAGGTCATGGTGGGTTATAAAGTTATGATTCATATTGACAAATCATAGTATTTGGCTTCTTGTCAATGGTATCACTTCATGCTCACCGCATTTAAGAGGTTCTTGAATTCAAATCTGATGTGATGCGATGAAGGAGTTACACAGGAAATTAAAAGAGAATTAAATTTGAGCTCCACAAATTATCTAATCATGCATCAAAGTTAAGTCAATTATATGTAATTCGCGGTGTTCAATTTGCTAGGCAAAGAAATTACGACAAGAAAGCTAAACTCTTTAAGCAAATGCGAAGAAAAAAAATAAAACAAAGGCTAGTAAATAAAAATCCCACAATTAATACCAAGTTGTTCACACCTTGAGACCTTTAACACTCTCTTCCTACGGAGACTAAGCTAAGCGACGGAAGATTGTCCAAACTAGCATGGAGGTTGCCACTAAGATGGAGGTACCAAGGAACGTTGCCATGGAAGAGGATTTCGGAGGCGGAGGAGGCACGGTAGATCGACCTTTGATAATCCAAGTGTAGATGGAGAAGTGTTCGTCAATGGAGTCTACAAGCGCCGGCAAGATTCGGTCCAAGTATTCGTCGACGGTATCGTCGAAATCAAATCCGACGTCAAAGAATTGTGACCGCAAGATGTTGACTCTTCCGTTGCAATCGTATTAAAACCCGTAGTTCCACTCGGGTTCGTCCATGCATCCTTGGAGTGGATCCGGAAGGTCGCCGCAAGCAAGATCTCGAAAGGGTGGAGGAAGAGGCCGGCGGCTCCGGGTGCCAAGGGGGAGGCCGGCGGTGAGAAGAGGAGAAAGAGGGGCTGTGGTGGTAGAAACTGAAAATTATTTCAGTTTTGGGGGTTTTGGAGGGAGGAATTTGAGCCTTAATTCAATTTCATTAATTCCTTAATGGGGAATTAATGAGGGGAAAGAAACCCAAGGGGGCCGGCGGCAATGGGGGAAGAGAGGAGAGGGTTTGAGTGTGAAAACTGAGAATAATTTCAGTTTTGGTTGGGTTGGGAGGGAAATCCAAATGAAATCAATTTCAAATTTCAATTTGGATTAATGGAATTAATGAGGGCCATTAATGGGGCCATAATAAGGGGGGCGGCGGGTTGAGTGCAGGGAGAGGAAATTAGGGAGAGAGGGAGGGGATTTCTATTCAAGGATGATGACTAGGCAATCATCCAATAAATCCAATTTGATTCAAATTTCGAAATTTCAATTCATTCATTCTTCCAAAAATGAAAACTTTCCAAAAATGGAAGAATTTCAAAATTTGAAATTTCAATTCAAGAGCGGCTACGAGGGAGAGTGGTGGTGGGAGGGTGGACGTGAGGGGAGGCCGGCGGCACCATTGGCGGACGGTGGGGCTAGGTTGGCCGACGGGTGGGAGGGGAAAAGCCAAGGGTTCGGCTGCCAACTAGGGGATGATGTGAGGATTTTGGGCGGGGAAGAGAAAGTAAATAACACAAGAAAGAAAACAAGAACAAGGTTTGAGAACTCACTAAGAGATCTCAAGTTTGAAGAACTCACACAGAGATCCTCATGCACTCACAAAGAGAACACAATCGTAATTTTCATTCAATTATCCAATAGTCCTCATACAAGATACAATGGCCATATAAATAGGCTCCAAAGAAAATAAAGTGCAAAAGTCTAAAATGCCCCTTGGGGCTACAAAAGCAACTACTACCCTCAGGGGTAAAATGGGAAACTACGAAAATAAAAGCATAATATAAAAAACTGAAGGTACAAGTAAAATCAATAATAAAGGCTCGCAATCGTGGTCGTCGATCTCCGTGGTCGTCTTTGATAGACGTGCCGAAATATCCTATTGATGACCTCATCAAAATCTATTCATGAAAGACACATTGACTTTACTATCAAAACTAGCTAAGCTGTTGGGTTAAGAAAGAGAGATGATAAATAAGCAGAAATATATATGTATTGAATATCGTATGCTCTCATAGCTAAGAAAAGGTCTAAAAAATACCTCCAAACCCTTTTATATATAGGCTTTGAAAAGTTACAAGAGAAGCTACACCTAAAAAATAATAAAATAGTACAATATTAAATTGTTAGAGAGATGTGGAGTAATTAAGATAAATATATGTGTCATGGCATATTAAACTTAGCTCGCTCATGACAAGTGCCTTTGGTGAATGCGCTTGGCGAGCGCATTTAGCAAGTGCCATTGGTTAGTATGGCCATAAAACAAAATAAAAAACTCACCTAACAGGCATCATGAGTTGATCCACCAATATATTTATGAATAAACTTGAAAACAATAAGGAAATGTAAGGTTAGCCAAAAAGACCCAAAATTGAAGCAATGAAATGATACCTACATTAATAAAATACCCAATAATAATTAGTGGCATGCAATTAATCATTCGAGACCAACTCCGAGAATAATAACACAAAGCATCGCTTCAATTAGAGATGTCAATATTTGACACTTTGACACGATCCAAAAATCCGACTCGAATATGACCAATAAAATCCGTCGGATTCGGGTTCGACAAATCGACTTATTTCAAAAGTTAGATCGGGTTCGAATTGACCCGGAAATGACCTGACTCGAAACATGACCTCGCTGTCTGCCTGCTCTGCCCGCGATTTATATGCCAAGACCCAATATGAGTACTGATTAACAGGCAAAGTTCCAAAAACATATCTCTGTAAACATTCAAACTCTGAAGGTAAATCAACAATTAAAATAGCAAAAACCACAAAACTAACCATCAGATTCAAAGAATTAGAGCTGCTCAAAATCATACCACAGCAAGCAATGAAGGTTATCTGTAGATCACATGCTACCAATTTATTATAAATTTAAGCAACCTAAAAAAATATATGAATATAATATCTCATAAAAAAATTTGTCTATAATTCTTTTGGTTTGAACCTTTTAAAAAAATTCATAGAAAAAATAATAATGTATAGTATTTCTCAATTACAAATATCAAACAATAATGAAATTCATTGCATTGCATTTTTCTTAAAAATGCTATCATTGGGCAAAGGCACAATCCAAAACCTTGAACTTTAAAGTATTTACAAAGATTTTTAAATCAATTTTCACTTATATTAAAATTATATTTTAATGCCCAATTAAAAAAAAAAGTTGAAAATGATTTATTTGGGATGACTTTCTTATTGCTTTTTAAAGTAGTTTTCTATTACAAATATTTTAATTTTTTACTAAAAAGTTACTTTAAGAAGCAGTAAGAAAGACGTCCTAAACAAAGCTTAAGTCCTTAAATCTGACAAAAAAATCGGATTTACAAAATGTGGGATTTAGGGCAAAAATGGCGAAAATGTCGTGAAGTGCAACTTAGACTTATCGTGAGATTTAATTTTGCATTTTTTTGTGTTCATCTTGACTTAGCTTAGGCTTCGTTTGGTTAGACTTTTTTATTGTTTTCTAAAATAGTTTTTTAGCACAAAAATTTTTTAAATTAAAAAATTTTATACTAGAAAGTTCTAGAAAATAGTAAGAAAGCCGTCCCAAAAAAAGACCTAAATCTTGCCTAAAGCCTACCTAAATCCTGCATCCAAACATGACTTGAATGTTTTAAATCCTAAAAACTATTTGACAATATAGTTAAATCTTTTGAAATTATTTGACAACTCAATCTAGTTAATTTAAAATTAAATTTAATATGTTTTTAATTTAATTTACATGTAATTATAAATTATTTATTAAATAAGTTATACTAATAAATAATATAATTAGAAACTATCTAATTTTTAAATAATTTAATTATTAATTATAATACTTATTATAAATTTACTTATTTAGGTATTCTAATTATATTGGTAATTTTATAATTATTTATTTATTTATTATTTGAAATAACTAATTATTTACTAATACTCCTACTAATAATTTAATTTATTATTTAAGTGTTACTTAATTAAGTTTAATTATTAATTATCTCAATAATTTCTTTTAAGTATTCTACTACTAACTATTTATTTAATTATTATTTACATTATAACTATATAATTAATTATTTTTATTTCAAATTATGTTAATTAAGTTAATTATATTAATTTTTAATTACCAAATATACTACTAATTATTTAAGTGTTTTTAATACAATTTTTATTTCAAATGATATCATTAATTATCAAATTAACTATTTAAATATTTCATTTCTAACTAATTATTATGTTATAATTTATACTGTTAATTATTTAATTAATTATTAATATTTTAAATTAAACTAATTAAGCTGAATTAGAATAATTTATAATTTAAATGGTAGGGCCGCCTAGGGTTCCCTTTTCTTCTTCTTTGCCTTCTGTGTTAATGCTTTTCTCGCGGCCGAAGTAGTGTTTTGAAAGAGTCTTCGCCTCCTTCGACGACGTCGGATCGGAAGTCACCACGGCAGCTCGCTCGCTGCCAAGGTAACCATCTTTTTCCCTTTCGCGACCTTCTTCAGCCAAAACCCGTCCATCCGCCGAACCTAGGATTTAGTAAATCCGGGATTTATTCCTAAAATCGAGTGATTGGTTTAGTAATTGAAAAGGACTCCATCGGGCTACCAACAGATTGGAAGGGGAGCGAAATGGTTGCCGGAAAGCGTAAGGATCGTGCTTCAGAGTCGGCAGCAGGAGATAGAGGGGACGGGGAGGAGATAAAGAAAGCAAAGCTTCTCCCGTCTCTGATTAGGAACAAAGAGAAGCGTAGCAAAGTGTACGCCAATCTTAAACGCGATAAGAAGTCCGAGAAGCGGAAGCAAGCCAAGGCCCGTGAAGCTGCAGAGAACAGAGCTCTCGAGCTTGGCGAGGAGGTGAGCTGCCATGTTCCTTGTGCCCGGTCTTCTCTTTCATCTCCCTTTGATTAAAAAATTCTCCTCTGTTTTCTCATTAAATCGTTGCTTTTTTTATTCTTGTGTAATGCAGCCGCCGCCAAAGAAGATTCCTCGGACGATCGAGAATACAAGGGAGCCGGATGAGACTGTCTGTAAGCCTAATGATGAAGAGGTGTGTAAGCCTCTGAATTTATTTTTCATATAAGGATTTTTCTTTTGAAGTTTAATTTGGGGAAATAACTATTGCAATGGTTGTTTGGTGTTTAGAAGCTTTGCAGATTGTGAGCTAGCGTTTTTTTTTTTTCTCTCTTTGTTTGAATAGTAAATGCATTGCTTATTTTGAGATAATTGATCGAGCGTTCCTCAGAAAGAGGGATTTTCTCATTTTTTGTGGTTGAACTTGTAATCAATTATAAAACTCTAGAACTAAATGCTCATGCCCTGTTTAACTGTGCTGCTTAGGCGTGGTGTGGTGGCATGCTACCCTAGTGTAGCTGGGACAGTGAAAACAAAGAAACACGAGGAAAAGTGAGAAACCAAAGAAACTGTATATGAAGTTTTGTATATTTGGTCACTAATTACACATTTGCTTGCTGAAAATGGAAATGCGTAAACACCTCTACTACAGTAGAAAGGTGGGAAAGTTGCAACTAGGGAAAAACAAAATGTAGAAAGGCTATCAGAACTATTAATACAAAAAAAAAAAAAAGGTTTAACATCTTGTATTAAGTTTAGGATTTAATATTGGTTGCGGCGATTGCATAAATTCTCCCCATTTCTTAAAGAACTTGACTATGAGTTCACTTCATATGACTTTGGCATCATCTAGAGGATGATACTGTAATATATCTTTCATGTTGAAAGTTTTGGATATCTTCATTTCATCTGACAAATCAATGATATAAACATTATCTCAAAGCTTCCTTTTGATGGGGAAATGCCCACTCTTCCTGTTGTTTATTGTAGGTACCGGCAGGATGATGATGCTTCCTATGGTGAACCATTATAAGGTCTCCTTCACGAAATATTTTTTGTCAATAGTATTGATCTGGGATTGGCTTATATTTTACATTGGCTTCTTCAAGTTATTGCTACACATTTTACCGTGAAATGTGATTTATGCCATCCGTGAGGTGCCCAAAGTTCTTATTCACGACTATGGGTGGTAAGGTGATAAGATCAACCATAGAATTTGGTGTAAACAAATCAAGAATAGAAACCTCCCAACGAAGTAATGTATCATACTATTGAATACAAAAATGGCTCAAGAATTTGCTTGATATCGTATTCTGAGTCTTGCTTCGGCTAGGCAACAAATCATGGATCCGAAAGTACAATTCTCTAACTCTAATTTTCTATTGGTTTGGGGATGGTAAGCACTACTAGATGTCAAAATGGTTCGGACCCTCCACATAACACTTGCCAAAAATGACACAAATTTAATGTAGTGGTCTAATGTTATAATTTTAGGGCCCTCATGCTATCCGACCACTTATTGGAAGAGTTGTTGGTTATATTAATAGCATCGACAATCTTCTGGCATATAATGAAGTCAGATATCTTAAAAAATTAGTCTACAACCACAAACACCAAGATTTTCTTGCATTGCATCAACGGTAGCCCCAAAACAAAGGTCTTACTTATTTAGTTTGAAATATTGCTTAATATTTGTAATGGAGTTATATGCCTAAATTTTGAGATTGTTCCTTGTGATTTGACGCACTTCACATTGTTGCATAAAAATGGTAATATTTTGCTGTATTTGCGGCAAAATGAATTTTTTTACGATGTCTACAATAGCCTTGTCGTGCCCTGTATAGGTCGCTAGTTTGCTAATGTATAGATCATGAATAAGGAACTCCTGTAAGGAAGTTCTTAGCATACATACCTGATTTGTCCTAATGAGGTAACCTTGTTGTATCGGTAATCACCAAAATGGATTTGATTATGGTTGTAGTCCCATATGTTGCTGAAATTCTCATCATCGACGGACAAATTCTTCAGAGCATCATGCCCCACAAGCCTGGTTTGTAATGTGAGGTATAGAGGCTCGGCGGTTGAGAGCATCATCCACTCGATTTAGTTGACCCACTCAATGTTTGAATTGAACTTTTGTAAGAAGAGAATCCGTCGAGCATGCATCCTAGATAACATGTTTTCATAATTTAAGTATTTCAGAGCTTGATGATCATTGGGTAAAATAAATTCCTTTTGGATTAAATATTGCTTTGAATGTTGCAATGCTCGTATAAGCATATAAAGTTCTTGCTCAGAGGCTGTCCATTTTTGCGCAGCATTAGTTAAGTTCTTATTGAAAAATTAGATCTACCTCCCCTCGTGTAAGGACGACATTGGTGCAGATCATGCCAATGTCATCCACAATTTTGAAGACATGATCAAAGTTTGGGAGGACGAGAATAGGAGTGAAATTTAGTTCCTCTTTTAACATAAGAAAACTTGTTTCTGCTCATGATTCCAACAAAAAAATTATTTTTTAAGGCAAATAGTGATTGTGGAAACAAGGAAGCTAAAATTATGAATTAATGGATGATAGAATGTGCCAAGTTCATGGATGTTTTGTACCTCATGGATATTCGTGAGAATGTGATGAGGACATCGTCAGCGATTTCGACAGGTGTGCCATCAGAGACGCCGGAGATCGACGGCCACGATCAGGAGTTTTATTTTGAGTCATTTTATGTAGTAGTTTATTTTATTTTTCAGTTTTACTGTTTTACCCTTATGGGTGGTCATTTGATATTGTAGCCCCGAGGGCATTTATGTCTTTTAGTTTTGTTTCACTTTGGCCTATTTATAGGAGGCCTCATGCATTGTATGAGATGATGAATATTGATATGAAATTTCTTTGATTTTGGATCTCTTTGTGAGTTCTAGAGTTCTCTTTGTGAGTTCTCAAGTGAGGAAGCCTAGGAGAGGCTCAATCGAAGTACCCAACAACCCTCTTTGTGAGAGCTCTTGGTTTCTATCATCTTCCACCACTTCTTCCCTTCTCCCCTTGCCGCCGGCTTCCACAAACCGGCCACCAACTGACCGTCTAGCTACCGGCCCCCATTCCCCTGCCACCACCAGCCTCCTCTTTTCCCCCCCAAGCCCTCCCTAGCTCCACCACCTCAAGCTCCCACCGACAGCCAAGCCCTTCCCCTTCCCCTCACCCGACGCTCTCTCCTCCTTCCTCTTGACCGCCGGCCCCATCTTCCCCCAAATTCATTATGATGATTTTAATCGTCATAATGACTCCCTAATTTGATTCTTGCAATAAAGGGAGGAGTTAGTAAATTTGAAATTCAAAAACTTTTTATATTTGCTAAATTCCAAATAAGGAAAGATTTCGAATTTGAATCCAATCCAAGTTTCATTTAGAGGGGAATTATTAATTTCCCTCCTATTTGATCTCAACTTATTTGGAAAGCAATTAGTCTCCCCCTAACCCCTCTCCCTCTCTCTCAATGCCGCCGACCACTCATTGATGGCTTTGCCATTAATTCCCATTAAAGCTCCCAATCCCTCCTTAATTTGAATTCAAAATTCAAATTAAATTCCTCCAAAACCACTTACATCTGAATTAATTTCAGAATTTCCAAAACTTCCTCTTCCCTCTCTATGACCGGCCACCCATTACTTCCGTTCCTTAATTAGGAGCTTAAGTCAATGCTCCAAATTAAGCCCCATTAATTCCCACTTTCCCTCCTAACGTCTAAGTTTCAAATTTCAAAAATTGAAGTTATGTGAGCCCAACTCAAATTAAGGAAATCTGAAATTAATTTCAGATTTCCTCTCCTAGCCTAATCCAAGCTCCTCATTCAAGTCGCCCCTTCCCCTTCTCCCTACCTTGGCCGCTCCCCCTCCCTTGCATCCCCACTCTTGGGAAAACTTAGTTGCTCATGAAACTTGAAGCTAAGAGAAGAATACAACTTCCTCTCCCAACCTCATCGTCATCGGTGCATGGCAGATCCTGAGATCGACCATGGATTTTATTCTTCCCGGACGTTGGATGCTCACTAGTCATCCCGTGGATTACCCGCCTCTGGCTACTTCTCCAACAGACTATACTTTGGGCGCCATTTGTCTCCTAGTGGCATCGCTCGGTTTGCTCTCAATCTTCCTCCGTTAAAGCTCCACCGTCAAGAGCGTGAGCGAGGGACCCAAGGTGAAGAGTTCTATTTGTTAACCGTGGATTATTGTTTCTCGCCATAACATTACTCTCTATTTATATGTTGTCAATTTGATATTGTCTCGTTAATCTAGTTGTAACCGCATGCCTTACATAATTTCGACTTGATATTCTGAAAACCTAACTTGGGTAAGCATTAATTCTTTAACTAGCAAAATTTTAATAATCTTATATTAAAATCCCCAAGCAGTTCTTGTTTCCATGCATTACGTTTCACATCAGCATGGGCCGCTATTTTATGCTTTGATTCTCATGTGAAAAGGTTGGAGTAGCTCTAGTGGCAGATAAGATGAGAGAGAGACTCCTTAGATTGTTTGGTCACATAAAACGTTGGACTTCCGTTGACCTTGTTAGGAGTGTAGATGTATTAGATTTGGCTTATGTTAGAAAATGTAGAGGTAGACCTAAAAAGAATTGCTTAGAAAGTATTAGAAATGTCTTTTTTTATTAGATGTAAATGAAAATTTGACTTTTAACAGGACACAATGGAGAATAGAGATTCATGTAGCCGACCCCATGTGGTGGAATAAAGGCTTGATGTTGTTGTTGTGGTGGGAGTGTGGTAGATTAGGAGGACTCGCTCTCGGAAGAAAATCGATTAAATGTTGTATTTCTTATAGAGACGGAAGATCAAGTGCAATATTGGGAGATTGCATTGTGGGATGGTTGTCCAGTTGGGTTGGGCTTCTTGTGGGATGGATACAGTTGCAGAAGGAGATGTTTTAGCAACTGATTACATAACCACTTAATTATGCTTCAGCTCAGAACATAATTTGGGTCTTGAGATCATCAATATGTGAAAAGGTTGGAGTATCTTTAGTGGCAAATAAGATTAGAGAGAGCTGCCTTAGATGGCTTGGGCACATAAAATGTCGGCTTTCTGATGTTCCTCTTAGGAGAGTGGATGTTTTAGATCCGGACTATGCTAAGAAAGGTAGTGGTAGATATAAAAAGACTAGGTTATGACTTATGAAGTATTAAAAATAATTTTTTTTATTAGATTTAAATGAAAATTTAACTCTTAATAGGGCACAAAAGAAAAAAAAATTATTTATGTCGTTGATCTCACATAGTGGGATAAAGGCTTGTTGTTATAGATTGGATTTCCAACTTTTGCGGTGAAGGTAGCCAGGTGATTTGCTTGTCAAGCCAATGAAAAGTGTTGTTGTTTTCCTTGCCCGGTGAAACAAATTAAGATCATATTGCCTGGGATGTCCAAGGAGGTGGCAAGCATACATATCCAATATATCATATTGGATGTCATCTCGATAAAATTTTTTGATAGACAACAATACCCGACATATTTTTAGTGACTCAGGTCTCATATCCTTTCTTAAGTCACTCGATCTTGTACGCACATGGATCATTCTTGGTTGGAAGCTTGAAGGCATTGATGAGTGCCTTCTACACAATATATTTGCATTTATTACTATCCACGATCACATTACATACCTTATGAAGTGACATTGAGTGATGTTCTATGGTTGGGTTAGCAAAATATTTTTAATTATGCACATGAGAGGATCTTTGTCCTCCCCTTCGCCTAGTTTAGAATTTCCCATAATGCCTTATTTACTTTGATGTTGGTCTCCATCTTTAAAATCTTCATGAGCTAGGTGGAGGGCCTTTTGTTGTGGACATTCATGGGACTTATATCCCACTTGATTGTGATGGTAGCATGAAGTTGCACTTGGTTGGTAGATTCTGCATCAGCATTGCCCTGAAAGCATGAGGACTAGTTAGTGAGCGGGCCACCGCTATAGTGCCAACTGTCAAACTAAGCCTTCATTTTCAAACTTTCACTTCTTTACTCAGATAGGATGTTGGTCTTCTTGTTGTTCATTTTTATTGAGGCATTAATACTTTATATCCTTAGGCAGTATGTGATGCCACTCAAGTGTCTTGCATTTTTAATTGGAAATGCTTGTCAATATGTGAGAATCTTGGTATCTCGTTGGTAGCGCACTAAGCTTTCACACCATATTCCTAACTCAAGTGCTCTTTTTAACCTTGGCTACTTACTTAAAATGGTAAAATAACACTTTTTGTATTGATTGTTCTTACACATATGGTGTGCATCATGCACTAAAAAGTTCATAATTTTTTTTCCTTACTTTTGTCCCTTTTTTGTAGTAAGAAAGTAAAAAAGGAAATCCTTAAGTTCATTTTTTTTATTCCTTTGGCCTTCTTTCTGTTCTGTAAGATGGCAGTGAGACCTGCAATGCTTTATAGTGCAGAATGTTGGCCATTAAAAGAAAAATATAATATTAAGTTAAGTGTTGCAGAGATGTGGATGCTCAGGTGCATGAGTGGCTTTACTCTTAGAGACAGGATACAAAACGAGCATAACGTGAGAATGTTGGAGTAGCTTCAGTGGAAGATGAGATTAGGGAGCCGTCTTAGATGGTTTGGTCACATAAAACGACAACATTCCGATGACCTGGTTAGAAGAGTAGTTGTATTTGATTTGACTTATGTTAAGAAAAGGTAGAGGTAGAACTAAAAAGACTTGGTTAGAAAATATTTGAAATGACCTTTCTTTATTAGATTTAAATGAGAATTTTATTTTGAATTCTCTCAAATATATAATGATTAAATCGCCTTATCTGTGCTTTTGGTTTTTATGATTTACTTTTTGATGCCGGTAACATTCTATTCATTACACAACTCTGCTTGGCCTATTGGTTGAGAGCTTAGGCTTCCAACTAAGAGGTCCAGGGTTCGAGTCTATGTGTATGCGTTGTGTGTGTGAGTTTGCCTTAAATGGCCTAAATGTCCCAAAAAAAAAACATTCTATTCATTGAACGTGGTATTACTTGAGCATTATGATAAATTGTGTTTTCTTGCTTCTGATTATAAATGTGAAGGTTTACTATTGCTGAGAAACTTAGTTAAATGAATATTATCTTGTGAAGGCTAGTTTTAATATATCATTGCAAATTGGATGATAATTTTCAACTCTAGCAATTTGTGTTGAATGCATTACGAATGTTATATTTTTTGTCTTTGTAGAACTTTCATGTACAATTACATTTATTATGTTCTTTTAGCAATGATTTTCTCAAGTAAAAACACGAGGAGTTTGTCTTTCGTGTCAAGCAATTTTGGGCCTATGGACTTTGATGGCGACTCTCGTCTTAATTCATCTTACCAAACTGTCTAATCAAGATTATATTTCATGACATTTGAAAAAGTTTGAGGGCTAGTCTTGTTAGGCTTTGATATGGAAGGAGAATCTTATTTATTTATTTTTGCTGCGGATCAATTCTCTTCCTCCATATAAGGCCTTGTTGGTTGCCTGTAGCAAGTGGAAATGCAAGTTGTAATGTTGTTCTTGAAAAGTTTGGAGGCTTAGCTTGTTTGAAAGTGATATGGAATGAGTTTCTTTTTCTTCTGTTTCCAGCTGTTGACCTATTCAATTTCATTCAGACTTTTTGGTGTTTGAGACAATGCGTTATGTTAGATGTTACTTAGCCATAGACAACTCTAATCAACCGAACAACCAAAAAATTGAGCACTTTGCTAAAAATGATTTTTCCATCTCTTGCTTCCAGATAAAGGGGTATTTTTAATTCACTTTCGTGCAACAGTGACAATACATCCAATCCAGAACATGAAGGATAGAAACGCATCTCACTCTTTATAATTTATAAGAATGTATATGCATCGTTGAATAAAAAAAGTCAATCGAAATTCAAGTTAAATAATATTGATGGATTAATTAAAATATAAATTCTCATATTGTGAAGCTTTTGATTTTATAGCATGAAAATGAGTTGTGAAAAAGAGGATCCCAGTGTTCCTTGATTTTAGTTTTCATCATTGTTGCATTTGTTTCCCACAATTATGTCCTTCAATTATTACTTTTTTCTTAAAGAACTGATTGACACATTTTATGTTGAATTATTAAAATTGATACTTTTAGTCTCTTCTTTTTCCCCTTTTAATTTCCATAACCTTTTTGCCTAATAGATTAAATCTTTGAAATTTAAAATTTTGTTGTTGCAACAAATTATGGTGTAGAAAGAATAAAGGTGTCCATATGAGGTTGTTACAGCTTTCTCTAAAATTAGTTGTAGAATTATTATAGAAGAAATTGTTGCCTGTAGTTGTGGCTGAAGCAATTATTGTTTTTTGGGAAATCCAATTGTTAGGCTTTTGTGTTACTGTTGTATATTATCAAATGACGCTGATGCTTTTATTCATATTAGAACGCATAAGAACTAGTTACTGCTTATCAAACAAAATCACATGCATTTTCTCAAAATTAATAATAATAATTACTGGGATCTCATAATCTTTGATATCACCCCCAATAAAGCATTTTTCACAAGTTCTGATGGATTGAGCTCCGTCTCATTTCAGTGCGTTATATTCCTTATAAAAGGGTTTTCATGTGTGAATTGTCCAATTCTTTGCTGCTTTTTATTATCTCCTATTTTTTGAGTTTCTATTTTCTTTTTTGCGGGCACAGTTGGTTGCAGCAAATGATGCTGATGAATTCAGCAAGATATTGAAACTAGAGATACCTCCAAAAATATTGATCACCACATGCCGGTTCAACTCCACTGTAAGTTAACCTTTTTGTGGATATAGTTTTAGCATAGTCAAGGTTTGCTACAGGTAATCTTCTTCCATTTTTAACAGAGAGGACCTGCTTTCATACAAGAGCTGATGACTGTTATTCCAAATGCCCACTATTATAAGCGAGGAACGCATGAACTCAAAAAGGTATTACGCTAGAAAATGACTTTTTGTTTTATTTCTTCATAATGAGGTAATTATTCTGTAATATTACCACTTTTGTTTACTTTCAGATTGTAGAATATGCCAAAAACAAAGAGTTCACATCTATTGTAGTTGTCCACACTAATCGTCGAGAACCAGGTGTTTTTTATATTTTTCTTTTATGAAAGTTTTTTGTTGTATTAATAGTTAGTGTTATTTTTTCCCCTAATTATTAATTTTCCAGATGCGTTACTGATAATCAACTTGCCTGATGGACCAACCGCACATTTTAAGCTTTCTAATCTTGTTTTGCGCAAGGATATTAAGGTAATTTAATTTCAGTTTTGAATTAACATTGCCTTAAACTCTACAACAAAAGTTTTTTTTTTAAATGAAAATTTTCTAAAAACTACCGACTTCAGACTTATTTGGTTTTGCTATTATATTACTTGATTTTTTGAAATATAATTTTTATTATGTTAGAAAATGATGTAGAAGAGAAGAGAGACAAAATAATGGAATATTTACTTGCATTGGTTGAAAATTGGCCCCTATACATAGTGGTTTTCAAAGGTGAAAAAACAGAGGAGAAAGCACAAGAAAGGAAAATTGAAAAATTAGAACTATTTAACCCAAAAGTGTAGGCATTGGTTGAAAATTGGCCCATATAAATAGTGGTTTTCAAAGGTGAAAAACAGAAGAAATTATAGCAAGAAAGGAAAATTGAAAAGTTATAACTATTCAATCGAAAAATGTAGCTGTTAAGGAGTATTTCCTGCAGGAATTGCCATCTTGGGAGAAAACTGCAGCAATCCAGGCCTATGTCAATTTGAATTTTATAGGTAACACTCCAAGTATGTAGAAGATGAAACAACATTTGTTCTTTTCTCCTTTTTGGATTGGGTGGCAAGTGGCGCTCCACTTCCCCTTCAAGTTGATTTGTAAGCATCATAAAGTATGTCAATACTTTTTTTTTTCAAATATTGGGTCTAGTTATTTCTTTTATTAGGATGTCAACAGTCAAATCTAATGAGGAAATATATGGCATGCACATATCCTCATTGAAAATTTTTTCTCTAATAAAGTGTCGATAAACTTCCACTCGTTTAATTTGATCATGATGGACAGGGTTCCATGCAATACTGATAACAACCTTATTCTTACAATATAGTATACTTGATTTAGTTTTATTGTACAACTTTTACGAAAGTGAGGTTCTTAGAGAATGTTCCTACACTTGAGGATGATAGCTCTTGCCCTCACCAAGCTAGCCTTTATAGTTCGGGTGTTGATCATTAGAATTATGTTGAATATCTTGTATTAAAACTTTATTAAGACTTTTGTTGGAAATAAAACCTCTATTGTATTCACCAAAAATTTGCGGGCTTCAAAATAACTTTTATATGGGTAAGGATGTACTATCACAGGAGGTAGATATAAACTTCTATGAGTTTATTGGAAGGGTATTGATTTAAAGTGTTTCCTAGGTTTATGATGATCAATTTGACTCAAGTGATCCTATGGTTAACCGGGTTTAGTTTGGGTTTGATTTGAGTTAGTTGAGTTTCTTTTGGTGAGTCAATTTATGTTTATGTTGTTTAAGGCAAGGTACTTTATGAGACTAGGTCAATGCATGGTCAAAGACCAAGGCAGGCTTCCCATTTATGGATTTGGAGATTGGTTGGATTTTGGGTGTTGGGCTTGTAAGTGAAGCCTGTCAAACAAAGGATATCAATAACTCCATTTATTGCATCAAGATGCAAATCCAAATTGGGCCCATGTTATTATAAATTTTTATGTTCTCTAGTTTATATGATTATTGTGTTTGAATTCTAAAATTACCTTCAACCAAGACATGAGTCCTAACTAGGCCTAGCAATTCCACATTTTTTTTTTAATTTATAGAATGATTGTGGTAAATTTTAAACTGCCATGCCTTCCTGAGGTGAAAAGGCAATAGTTTGTTTTGCTGCTTTAGTTATGTATTTATTTTTTATTTTGTTTAAATACATCCTTGTTATTTTTTTGGGTGTAAGTATTTGAAATTTTTTATTGCATATAGTGAAGGAATGTGCTCATTGAAAAAAAAAAGTTTATGATTTCAACTCAAATCAACACCTGAAGTATTTTTATTTTTCCTTAAAATATATCTAGCACCATGGGAATCCTACAAGCCACAAGCCAGAGTTAGTACTGAACAACTTCACCACTCGCCTAGGATATCGAATTGGCAGGTGAGTTTCTCTATATTCCTTGAATGATTAGTTGTTCTCTATATTCCTTGAATGATTAGTTGTCAGGGATCAACGTATATATATTAACTTTTATTATTTCCATTCGTCATATACTTATTTATATATTATTTTAGATATCACTGAATATCATTAGTGACCACCCCCCTTTATTTTATGCATTTTACACAGGATGATACAATCACTTTTCCCTCAAGAGCCTTTCTTTCGGGGCCGTCGAGTTGTAACATTTCATAACCAAAGAGATTTCATATTTTTTCGCCATCACAGGTATTTTATTGCCATCACAAAGATCTCTTCATGAATTTGTATTTTTTTTCTAGAAGCTAATGTGGTCCTTCAAAAAATGCTTATATGTTTCATATTTAAATCATAAAAGTTTTTAAAGTCTAAACCATGAAGATAGTATGCAAGTTTTAATACAGTGTGATAACGATTGTTGTTTTACATGATGAATTAGTAGCATATGGTAGGGGTGTCATAAAATGACCATACTAGAAAAATTTAGGTTTGGGTTGACCCGTTTAATAACTAGGTCCAATTCGGGTCGGGTTTTTTTACTTGTTTGTTAAACGGGTCTTGTTTGGGTTGACATGCCACCCCATTTTTTAAGTCGATAATGACCTATTTAATATCTTTTTTCTTAATTTTTTTTACTTGTGGGTATTATCTTTTTGCTTTTAATCTAATATCCTAAACTTTATAGTTAATAGTCATAAATTTTTTTTAACCAAAACTGGTTAATGGATTTGGGTGATCTTATTATTCTGATGTTGGAGAGGCCTATATGTGTTTTACAATCTTATAGATTGAAAGATGCCCAATGGTGGATCATATAGCCTCACCCTGTAGGCGAGGCTATTCAGGTTCATTTGTGTCTTTGATTATATAGTATTAGTTTTACGAGTGGCTGGGACTTATAAATTTGTTAGTAGAGATGCATGAAAGTGGGAGTAACAAACCTTTCATTTAGAGGGTCAATGGTTGCTTGAAACTAAATAAGTTTAGAATGATTAATGCATTAATGTTTATTAGAGCATGAGGATTACAACTTTGCTAATGGAGACGCAAGTGATCAATATTTATAATCTTGAATGCGGGTAGACCTATAATTTAGGTTTTACTGCTTGGAAACCTAAATATGAGACTTATGGCTTCGAATGAAGAGGTTCTCAATAGTAGATCTTTTGACTCCGTCCTATAGGTGAGACGGTTTGAAATAAATATTCATTATAAATGATTTATAAGCCTTATGCAAATATAAGACCAAAAATTTTAGTAAATATTCTATCACTATATTTCAGAGCACACATAAGTTAACTCATCGCATTCGCTTTTGTAGGCTTTGTCAACTCCCTCAAGATTGAGGCTAGGTATCCTCTTATTGTGTTGTCAAGGCATCGAACGAATGAATTAGGTTGGTTACATGCACGTGTTATTTTTAAAAATTAGTCAAGGTGATTTTGAATGATTGTTCACTATACATTCAAGGAATCTATGGGGGCTTCATTCTGTGTTTGTATTCTTGAGGAGTTTTATAATTGATATTCAAAATTTATATTTTTAAGGTGATTTGACTTGAGTTGTGGGGTCTATTTAGGTAAGGTATACCCTTAGCAACCTTGTGAAGGACTACCTCTAACTTAATAATCTTTTTAAGTTTGTTGAAGATTTTATAGTTGTATTTAATTGTATTATAATTTGGGAGGAGGCATGAGGAGCTTTGCTCACTTGTTTCTCGATTCAAGTTCGAGTTCTATTCCCCATCCATGAGTAGTTTTTTAGGATTTGCATAGTTGTTTTTTAGGTATTTTTCCATCTTGTTTATGCTATTACGTGTTCTTTAAATGTTTTTGGTCTCATACTTATTTATTTGATGTTTAGTAATATTCTAGTTATATCGTATGCCTTGGTTTGCATGTTCTGTCACCGTTAGTTTGTTGTAAATGATTTATTATAATTTTTTTCCATACTCATAGAGGGAATTCTAAAAGTATGTTGGACTATCCCACCACATTAAGAATGATACATATGATGTGGTATATAAGGCAACACGGTCATATTTTTGTGTTTATCTTGCCACACCAAAGAAGGTTTTGTATAGGTAGTACATAACATTGAGAGAATGTACGTCTTCTCACCACGTCAGAAAAATAGTATATGAAGGTATGAGATAAATGCAAAGGAAGATACTATTCATATGAGTATTTAATATAATTTTTAGAAATTGTGGCAACACTTTTACACTTCTATGAAGGATTACTAAGAAGTGTGATGGGACATCCCACCATTCAAAGAAGTATCTATATGATATAATGCAGGAAGTCTCATATTTTTGTTGTATAACCTGCCATGCCAAGAAATATATTTATAGATAGTGCGCAACATTGGAGCTATACCTAGATTCCCACTATGCCAAGAAAGATGTGCGCGGAGATTCGAGATACCTGCAAAGGCAAGCATATTTTATATAGTTGTGGGTTAGTGCTAACCCCTGTATTGCGCTAATAAGAAATGCTTGGGGCTTATACCACTTCAAGAAAGGTGTGTATGTGCCTTAAACGTGTATCTGCAAATACAAACATTTTATGAGATGTCACTTAAAATGCACATGGGCCAGTACCGTAGAAAACTAGGATAGGAGAATGCGCGCGTGGCTGAGCTCATCAATTAGTGGAACATTGTTGAGGGAGATTTCAAGAGGTGGTCTGACTAGCGACAGGGCTGCAAAGGGGAAGTTTCCTAAAAGGCTTAACATGGAGTCTTTGAGGGAAAGGCCATATGAGGAAGCTTTGATAAGAATGAAGTAGCAGATCTATACTTTTGGTCATTAGCTATTACTTGGTTTCAATCTAGTCGCTGGCTTTAATGGGAGACCCTGAAGGCTTTTTGTGTGTAGAAAAGTCAAGGTAATAGAGGTGCAATATTTATGGTAGTTGTAGGCCCCTGGTGTTAGGTGATAGGCCCTTTGCACATATTAGGTGGCTTTAGTAGGCTATTATGAGTTGTGGATAAAGTAAACAGAAGAGTTCTGATGATATTTATACTGATCTACAGGAACCAGATGGGCACAAATGGGGATTTGAGTTGGATTGAGTCACAGTTCTAAATGGATTGATATGTCTTGTAGTAAAATCAAGCTAGTCAAAAAAGAGAACTTGATAGGAAATTAGAACATGTGTGATTGATTCTCCTCCAGAATTTTCTGGACGTCAACAATCCTAAAATAGCTTTATGTACACACATTAAGACATTAACACCTTATCTGATGGTTCAGTACAAGGGGGTTGGGCTTTGGTTCTCCCATTAAACTGTTTGCCATTCATCAATTGGCTCATATATATTTGTTAAATGATCGTGCATGATACGTATTGGCTATGCAGTTGGATAATTTAAGGTTTGGGATGGTGCTACACTTCAGTATTTGATAACTGATGAAGTTGTAAAGCTAGTTTGAGTAATTACGAATTTGATGCTAAGAACCTGTGGTTAAGGCTTCGTTTGGTATGGCTTTATTACTGCTTCTTAAAGCAACTTTTTAGAACAAAAATAAAAATTAAAATTTTTGTTCTAAAAAATTGCTTTAATAAGTGGTAAGAAAGCCGTCCGAAACGAAGCCTAAGTTTGTGCTGATGCTGAAGCATACGATAAATGACGAACTTGCAAAAGCTAGTTTGAGCAATTAAGAAAATGTTTGATGCTAAGAACATGTAGTTATAAACTTATGATGCATTTATATAGAGATTAGTTAAAAAAGAAAGGTTTTTTATTTATTTATTTTTTTTAAAATTTTGTTCCTTGTCATTTTGGTTTATGACCTATTAAAAAGCCATTATATTACTGCCAAAGATTCTTGTGAGGTTTTGTTTAATGCTATGCAGTTTTGTCTATTAACTACCAAGTGAAGTATAGATGGCTTAGATTTATTTGCATTTTTTGAGACTCCGATTTGCCTATCTCGTTGCTGTTTTTCCTTTAATTCCCTGAGAACTGGCTGTTGATCGTCTCTCTAATTATTACAAATCTAAAACAAGACAGTGATATAGAAGAATTGTGCTGAAAATATATTTATGTTCCTTTTATTCCTTTTGGAATTGCCGCTTTGGAAATCTGGATTTAATCACGCTTAAGTGTTTGCACAGATATATCTTCGAAAGCAAGGAGAAAAAGGATGATTCAAAGGATAAAAAGGCTCAGAGTGCCCAAAGTAAGATCAACACTGAGGGGAGAGTCATTGCACGCCTGCAGGTACCCGTTCAAATCTCTGTTTTTTCTTTGTTATTAGTCAGTTCGATTGATTCCCTCTGATCACTTTCATTCTGACATTAAATTTATTTGCGTTCTTATAAATATGCACATTGTTTACTCTCGAATTTTTGAGTTTCTACAATCTCGAAAAGCTAACTTTCATGCACTAGTCATTTGATCATGTACTTTAACGGCCATGATTTATTAAGCTCTACACAATGCCCAGTGCACTCCCACGAAATACCTATTTATAAATATAATATGACACTAATCACTTTCCATAAAACAAATGATAGAACTAGATCACTTTTATCCGGGTATTATGAAAGTACGATAATTTTGCTTGAATAGTAAATAAAAGGTCAATTATTTTTTTTTAATGAAAAAAATGGATAATGATGAGTATATTTAATATTTGTTTGTTTTTTTTTTGGTATATTTTGCTATGTTAAGCGTCGTTCCATTAACTGTACCTTATGAGGCACAAGTTGCTGCTGGAAATGGTTATCGAGTCATTGGAGTGGGCATCTACTCAACACTCTTCGTTGTTGACTACCTTCGCATGCCGAAAGATCCGTCTCGATGAACTGCCTGAAAGTGTATTTTAATTAGTAGATTACTTTGTTGTCTTGCTCTACCCCACCGCAGGAGAAATTATTTTGTGTGGAGACCGGATGCAGAACGTCGTTCGGAGATCAACCTGAATGCATCACGTTGGCGGTACCGAGCGCAGGGTGATGTGGCGCATTTTGGTTGGTCTTCAAACGGCGATCGGCGTCCACACAGAATAATTAATCTCACCGTAGGATGTGTGCATGCTTATTTGTTTATCTTCAGCTTCGTTTGAGACAACTTTGCATGCTTAATTGTTTGTTTATCTTCAGCTTCGTTTGAGACAACTTTTTTATCGATTTCTAAAGCAGCTTTTTAGTATAAAATTTTTTAGAATTAGAAATTTTTTTATTAAAAATTACTTAAAAAGTAATAAAAATGTAATCTTAATTAATTCTTAAATCCTGCCTTGGCTTGAATCCTGCGTTGTCTCGCTCAAAAATATTACTGCTTTCATCCCTTATTTCAATGCGGCTGCTGAAATCCGCAGCTGTGAAAGGGTTGGTTGTGGGCCTGGGGGTATTTATAATCCATGCATCTTATGTAGCAGTACAAGCAGTTATGATAATTGATATCTAAGCATTCACGTATATAGCTTTCCTCTTGCATCTACTTAGTGCCTTTACCTCTTTCCTCTCTCGTTGGCTTTATAGTCTGCTGAATTAATGGAAAAATTATTCTGTGCGGACATCGAATATCGTTTAGAGATCAACCAAAATGCTTCACGTCATCCCTTCGCTCGGTACCTCAGTTTGGTACTACTCAATACCGCGGCTTGTTGCTGTACCTGATTCGCCTCCAAACGTACAGCTGCGTCCGGCGTCCGCACAGAATAATTTCTTGATTTCAGGAGAAAAATCTCTCTCTCTGACGTGGTTCTTTTGGTTTATGCAGGAATGTGGCCCTCGGTTCACGCTGAAATTAGTTACCCTGCAGCATGGAACATTTGATTCAAAGGGCGGAGAATTTGAATGGGTCCATAAGGTACACTCGCACTTTGCCTTACCATCACATTCTTTTCTTTTTTAGCTCTATAAACAGAATGGTAATCTCTTGCAATCCTTCGCATTTTACAATCAAAATTTTAGGCGGATATGGACACAAGTCGCAGGAGATTTTTCTTATAGCACCTGGAGATGCAGGTTTAGCAGAATTTTATTTTTGCTGTATTTGAAAATTTTATTTTATTGAAAGAAATAATTGTTAGATATATTAATGTGAAAGTCCATGATGTAAGGGTAAAAATATCCTCTTCTGGTTTTTTTGGTTGAACTTATTTATTTATAGATTTTGCTCATAAAATCATGAGTTATCACGATTTTTTTTTTTATCATTTTTTAAAACAATAATATAATATAAAAATTTAAAAATTGTTCCAAATAAAATTTTAGTTGAACAAAATCAGAGTTGTGAAAGATTGTTTTAAAAAAATCATCAAATTAAAATACAAATTTAGTAATTTATTATTCAACAAATTTAAAACTAAAACGTATAAATACTTATGCTGATGCGACAGTTAATCTTGTCATTATCATGAATTTTTTTATTTTATAGACCATTTTTTGGTCAACCGACCTTAGAATTTTGAAGGCTAAGTAGGCTTTTTTTTTTTTTGAGGAAATAATGTGTTTATTTAAGGAGTTTGATGGATTTGATTTATGATTCAAATTTAAGATTGAAACTGTTAAATTATTTTTTAAATCAAATTATATTGAACCGAGCTTTAATTTGATTAGTTCAGTTTGATTATAAATAAATGGAAATAAAAATTAACTGTATAATTAATATAATCTTTCAGTTTTAAGTAGAAGAATATCAAATAATTTTCATTTACATTAATAATTTTTATAAATTAACAATGAGAATTAGATTCATATTAAATTTTCTAATCAGTTATTTATTTATAATTAATACTTAATAATCAAGTAATAAAATATATACTCTGACAAAACAGCACAAAACAAAACCTTCAAATTTTTTATCGCATCAAAACAGCGCACATTAATATCCTTGGTGGTTCTATAAGAAGAATCATCTGAATTTATTTCGTATTTATTGAATATTTGCTGTGTAATTATAAATACTCAATTGTCAGAATTATTAAATATTTTATGAGTATTTGTTAAATTACTGTGTATTTATTGAATATTTACATAGTATTTATATTGTCAAAAGTATTAATGAGCGTTTATTGAGACAGAATATAGAATTATATCCATAGAGTTCTTCTATTAATGAAGGACAAAAGATGGAATATTAAGATAACAATATAGAATTAGCATATAACAGAAATAAAAACAAAATGAATGAATTTTAGATATTAGTAAGAAAATTAAAAAAAAAAAATCTAAAAAACTACAAAAATTTACACATGAACGGACCAAAATGAATAAGAAAGAGTTCTCACTTAGCTAATCTTATATAATTGGGATAACACTAGGAATAAGGATATGAGCAGTAAGCTCCGGATTGCGTTTTTGAGAAAGGGCAATAAATATTCAATTATGAATGCGTTTTTACTGTACTTTTGCAAATACTTTAATAAATATTAAATATTTGCTGCACTTTTACTGTCTTTTTGCAAAAGCACATCAAAAAGACAATTAAAGCGCAACAAATCCGGACGGTTCTCTTCATATGGTGTCCGCACAGAATAATTAGTCCTCTTTGTAGGGAGAAATTCAAGGCCGATGTTGGGCTTAATTCCGAAAGATTGTCAAACAAACATATAGTTTGAAAACAATCTAATTTTTATGTGTAGACATCTACCAGAACTGAATATTATGATTAACACATAAAATAATAATAAAGAGATAAAAATTGGAATAAGGATATGAGCAGTAAGCTACTGTACTTGCTACAGTCGAAGAATATCTTCATGTAGGATAAATTATTTTGTACAGACAGATACTGGGTGGAGAGAACCGTCCGGATTTGCTGCATTTTTACTGCCCTTTGATTGCGTTTTTGCAAAAGGGCAATAAATATTCAATTATGAATGCGTTTTTACTGTACTTTTGCAAATACTCAGTAAAAGCAAAACAAATATTCAATTATTTAATAAATATTAAATATTTGTTGCACTTTTATTGTCTTTTTGCAAAAGCACAATAAAAAGACAATAAAAGCGCAACAAATCCAGACGGGTCTCTTCATACGGTGTCCGCACTGAATAATTAGTCATCTTTGTAGGGAGAAATTCAAGGCCGATGTTGGGCTTAATTCCGATAGATTGTCAAACAAACATATAGTTTGAAAACAATCTAATTTTTATGTCTAGACATCTACCAGAAATGAATATTATGATTAACACATAAAATAATAATAAAGAAATAAAAATTCGAAAAAAAAAACATTAAAATTTACATGCTTCAATAAAAATAAACTTATGTTCGAAGGAGAGGAGAGAAAACACCAATTCACCATGAATAAGCCTTATAAATGTACAAAAAAAAAAAAAAAAAAAAAGAAACCCGAAATCTCTCAAGCCAAGTAAAAGAAATAACAACACATGAAAGGTAATAAACAGAGATCATTTCTAATATTTTCTAACCAAGTCTTTTTAGGTCTACCTCTACCTTTCTTAACATAAGTCAAATCTAATGCATCTAATTTCCTAACTGGGTCATAGGAAGACCGCTATTTTAAGTGATCAAACCATCTAAAACGACTCTCTCTAACCTTATCTTTCATTGGAGCTACTCCAACCTTTAAATACAATATAAAAACTTTGAATTCAGAATATACTAATAGTTGCAATTGCCTCAGCAGAACACTTGTATATTAACTTGAATTCTTGCAAGAAAATTGCTTAAAACATAAACATTTACAATTATGCCATCTAGTCTAATTTTGTTTAATTGATATTTATTTGCTATATTATTGATGGGATTTAAATATGAAATTTTAATAATCTTTCCTTGTTTAAAATAAAATTTGAAGCATGCTTCTTCCTTGAAAGGCACCAATAAGACAGAATAATGTCAAAACCAAGAATATAATTGGACACGAGAATTAAGCCAAAAAAGATGGTTTAATGTTGCTTTGGTTCTCTAGCAATTCAATTCGGTTCAAGTTCCAACAATAATAGAGTCGAATAAAGTCAAATCAAGTATAAATTCTAAATGGAATAAATCAGAACCAATTCAAGTTGTACTCCCATTGGAGATAAAACCTTCTTTTGAAAGGTCTAACCATAAACGCTTAACAAAATCATCTTTAGAATGAAATTAATTCTTAAAATCCTTTAAACTAATTATATCTATTCCATAAAATATTATGCTATAAAAATGCTTATAAGAGGGAGGTAAATAACACACAAAATAAAGTTTAATTATAATCATCAATCTCATATTAATATTCCTCAAAACCCCCCACAATAAAATTGATATATCATCAAAAAATTATCTTGATCAGCACGAATCTCGAGGCAAAATCAACCCGGAAACTTCAAAAATTAAATTCGGGATCACCTGAACTTCGATTTCAGCAAACTTACAATCAAACTGAGCGTCTCGGAATACGAACCCAACGACACCAAATTCGACTCAATCCAAGACGAAATGAGTCCAAATCAAGGACCCGAAGCGCTGTTGGAAAGTTTGTACGACAATTTGAATTACCAAACGGTTTCCGAATTTGACGAGCTTATAGTCAAATCAAGCGGCTCAACGAGACGAATCCAACGAGCCCAAGATCGTCGAATTCCGACATCATTAAGACCTTCAAATGTCTGACGAACGATGCACGATCAAGGGATTCAATATCAACCGTCCATTCGACCACTCCCAATTTGCTCATGATCTCACACCTATTTACAAGATATGCCACTCCAAGAAATCTATAAATAGACCACTCATTTCAAATGAGAGGAGACCCAAGCAAAAAGGAGAGAATAAGAGGAGAAGTGAAGAGAAGGATAGCAGGGAATAACTCCTCCTTGACCACCGCCGGAGTTCTGCCTGACGCCCGAGTGATGAAGGAATTTTCCCGGGCGCCCGAGTGACGCCGGAATTCTTCCCAAGTGACACCAGAATTCTGCCCGACGCCAAAATTCTACCAGACTTCCAAGTGACGCCGGAACTCTGCTCGACGTTGTAACTGACTTTCAATCCTAAAGAGATTCATTGTAATCTGATCGTCCTAAATTTTAAGGACGAGTCAGCCTCTTGTACTTCAAGCGAACACTAGTGAAACTATTTCAATTGGGAGTGGCCCCGTGGTTTTTCCTCTTTCAAGGTTTTCCACGTAAAAATCCTGGTGTTGCCATTTCTCCTCTGTTTGTGTACTAGATGTTCGTACAACGCTGAGACGGAAGTGTTTTAACTCTATCGCCGCGTATATTCTAGTTCGCAACAAAAATTAAACTCATTAAATGTGATTTAATAGACATTCCTTCTTGGATAAGAAATATATGCAATTTCTTTATTTTGATAATCTTTATTGGAGAGGATTTTGGCAATATACAAAAACTCCAACTTAAGTAGCAATCTATTCACAACTTCCTCCAAAATCTCAATCAATACCTCATTTGCCAAACATAGTTGGATCATCAAGAAAGCTTTTATCTTCTTTTAATTTAAAGTCTCTAAGAGCTTTATAGAGAAAGCTTTTTCATCCATCTCTATTTTATCTTCTTCACGTACAATCTCAAATATATTTTAACACTCATAAGTGCCTTCACTAGTCCTTATTGGATTAAAATACCTTATATCTTAGTTTTCTAAAGTCCAAAATTATTAGCCATTAAATAATTTGATCTCATACTCTGCATGGCTATTTTATTTCTTATTAGACTGGCAATACTTGCTAAAAAAAATCACTTAACTATTTTGTGAAAGTGGCTACAAGAGAGAATACAATGAACACACAAAATAATAATCAAGAGAGCAAGCACGGCAAGAAATCATTTTATTGGGAAATGAAGAGCTCGTCGGTAAATTACGTTTATGGATTCTACGGTAAGAATCGTTACCAGCAGGTCCAGCACTAAGCACTTTGTTCCTGCCCTATCATCCTAGCAGTCTTAAAATCTAAATCACAGGTAAAGAGATTACCTCTCCAATCACCAAACCTTTTAGCCAATTTTCGTACATACCCGGAGCTTAATCGAGTCTCTTAACTTTCACCGCTTCAGCCCAACAAGATTGGCGTCCCCGACGCCACCAAGGTAGCCACCAATGACAACCGGCAAGTCGGAAACGATGGGTTCCTTGCTGGAGGCGAATCGCAGCCCGAGGGACAATTGGACAAAGAGTCCAGGTTCCGCCGTATGAAACGCCTAACAATGGTAACAAGGTGGTCAGCGGTATCTAACTGCGAACGGAAGCTCGAATAAAAGCTCACCTGCCGCTTTAATGCCTCCATCGAGATAAGCCCAGTCGACGGCAAGTATCCTCCTCCACCGCCTCGGCGAAGAGACCGCATATTCACCGCCCGCCATACCTCCCCAGTACTGTTGCCACGCAGGTCTCCGTGCACTCCTTCGTTAGGCCGCAACACTCACACTCGGCAAACCCTAACTCATCTCGCTCCTCCACAGCCGCGACCTCCATAACTTTGTTGACGTCGCAACAAATTTCAAAACCCTAATAACTTTGTTCGATTTTACCGATGGCAGCCACGCTATGATTCAGGGATTCTTGAAATTTCCCCCACCACTCCTTTTTCAAGGCGACCGATGCGCGAAGATGGACGGCAGGTTGAATCTAGATCGCCTATTCTCTGAAAACACTCTCTCTCACGGCAAATTATTGCATCAGGTCACCTGACAGAGAGATGCGTTCGATCTCTCTCTGTCTATAGTAACCTGCGCTTTACTGTAGCAGTTTACTGTAGGTGTTGGAGTTGGAAGCGATGCGGAAGTTCTCTCTCTCTCTCTCTCACATCGATCTCTGGCGCGATCTCGCATGCAGTTGGAAGCGATGCGGAAGTCCATTATATATAGGTGTTGGAAATGACCGTAGTATTATACAACAATGTTAGCGTGGGCGTGCAAAAATCTCCAATAAACACCCGCAAGCACATCTTAATTATTAATTTATTTTTATTTATAATTAAAGATTTATTTGTGACAAATATATGATGCTTTATTTTTCAAATAACAATCATAATTTTATTTTATTATTATTTTTTATTTATTTCTTGCTCCTTTTAAAAAATTTATATTATAAAAATTTATTTTTTACAACAAGATAGTTGAGTTACCTTCATACATAAATTTCATAATTAATTTTATAAAACGCTACATCTGTCCCAAACAAATAATAAATTGTTTATCAGTTCACTATAATAATTATAAAATGGGCCATTGGGTGCAGGTCAACAAAAGTGATCGCATCAGCTTTCTAAAGAAGGATATTTTTCGACTAAACATCCCCATTAGATAAATTGAAGAAGAACGCAGTGGTGGCCGACGGTGGTTATAGGCAGCGGGTGACGGCGGTCAAGCGAGTTTGCTTGCAATGCTAGCGACTGCCAGCGACGGTGATGGTGCCTAAACATCGGGTGGCAGTGGTCAGCAATAGTGGCCTAAGGCTGGTGGAGACGACTGGCAGTAGTGGCCAACACCGATCAAGCAAGCTTGCTTCGTGAATTGTTCTCACTCAAAACATGCGCATAACGAAACCCAAACTCATTCATATTCAGCTTGTTTACCCTTCGATAAGTCATAATAATGAAACATTGACGAACAAATAGGAATAAAAAAAATAAAAAAATAAAAAATATTACACTTGAAGGTTCCAGAAATCTGGTTCTCAAAGAACAAATCTCAGCATATGTAGGTAACTATGTTGCCAACAGAAATTATATTTGATGAAAAAAAATGATTCGGCTACTAGAAAACATCAAGAACATATATTTCTGAAAAAAAACACCCTGCAATACTTCTCCACAACAACAACAACAAAAAATCTGACCAAGTAAAGTAAACTTGGACATGATCAAAGAAAAAAATATATATATATTCATGGTTGAGAAAGGATAGTAGGTAATGCAAAATCATGCTTAAACATGTTTTATCCCTATGATGTTGTTGATCGTCGCCGCACAACAAAATCATCAGCAGAGTAGTAGTCTGCAATTAGCCGGTATATGTATGAAGGGCTGTGCCCGCCCCTGAAAAACCAGGAAAAGAAGTACCGTGTAAATCTTGCAACACTCACCAATGCATATATATATATATATAAGACTAAATGGTCATGAACGGTATTAAATATTAAATATAAAGTAACAAAAAACACAAAGATGATATGGATCTGGGTAGGTTTACCATTATGCTTTTAATTAGAGTTTTGTTTGGGATAACTTTTTAATTGTTTATGTAAATTAATTTTTTAGTACAAAAATTTTTTAAATTAAAAAATCTTGTACAAGAAAGCTGCTACAGAAAGTCGTCCCAAATAAAGCCTAGATTAGTAAGATCAAATTAGGCTTCATTTGGGATAGCTTTTTCATTGCTTTCTAAAACAACTTTTTAGTACAAAAATTTATAATTCAAGATTTTTTAAAAAGCATTAAAAAAACTGCCCCCAACAAAACCTTAGTGTTTGCTTGAAACAAACAAGCAAATAAGACTATCTATGTTTTCATAATAATAAATTTGCAAACCTTAAATTTGTAACTTTGACTCTTAAGTTATAGGTAAGATGTGGATAATCATAGTGATGGTTTTATGCATTGATTGTGTTTTTGGTGTTAAAATAGAACTTAGAAAAACCTGATGTGTGTGTGGGTCCCTACATGCAAAACATGGATTTGCACATTGGCTATATATTCTTTTCATGCCTAAAGATACCACACGTTATGCTTTTTCAAAATTATAGCTCGTAAGGGATGAAATCGTGGTAAAACAATTTTTATGCATCTTAATGTGATTTGAAGCAATGCCAGTGGGGCTATGATAACCAAGCAGCTTTCAAAATAAACCAGTCAAAGAACAGTTAATAGGTTTTAATTCGAGGTTCTCATATAACGGTTTAACTTTTTGATGTATAGCATTACTATTACAAATGGATCCGAATAAAAATCCTCATATCTTTTATTATAAATGATGTCTCTAACGAACAAAATTTGAAAAATTAAAATTTTAAGTTCCTCCACAACTTCCCTTGAGTTTAACCTCCCTATCCCCTGTTGAAATAAGGAGTTTGAGAGGGAAAAATCTGAATTTTATCATATACCATACTCCTTATTTATAGATCTATACAAGAGCTTTAATAATTGCAGAATAATAAGCAATAAAATCCTTCCTAAATCTGCTTCCTAACTAAGGAAGGTACCCAACAAGAGCATATCATCCCTCAAATCTCTATTCGTAGCCGTAGGATTAATATGGTAATGAGAGGCTAGGATTTAATACGCCCCCTCAAACTGGGGAATATAGATCTGTCATTCCGAGCTTGACAATCATTCTGAGAAAGGCGGAGCTGTCCAATCCTTTGGTAAAGATATCTGCAAGTTGATCCTTTGATGATACATGGTTGATACATATTAGACCATTGTCTAATTTTTCTTTAATAAAACATATGTCCACTTCTATGTGCTTAGTCTTGTCATGCGATTGTGGGATATGCTAATTGCTAATTTATTAACACAAAGTAGTTTCATAAGTTCGTCCCACTTGATCATTAAGTCTTCTAGAATTATCTTGATCCATAATAACTCACATATTCCCAAAGCTATAGCTCTATACTCTGCTTTTGCACTAGATCTTGCCACCACATTATGTTTTTTGCTTCTCTATGTAACTAGGTTTCCTCCTAGGAATGTGTAGTTTCCAAAGGTATATATTCTGTCTACTGGTGATCCTGCATAATCCGCATCAGTGTATGCTTCTAGAGTTATTCAGTGGTTTCTTCTAAAGAGAATCCCTTTCCTAGATTTCCCTTTAGGTAGTGCAGTATTCTGTCTACTGCTTGCATATGAACCTATTTTGGATTCTGCATAAACTGACTGATCATACTTACAACAAATACAATATCTAGTATGGTGTGGGAGAGGTAGATTAATTTCCCTACAAGTCTTTGGTAAGTCCCTCTATCTACATCTAAATCTTCTTTGGTTTCCCCCAGTTTAAGATTTGGTTCAATAGGTGTTGGTGCTGATTTACAAGCTAGTTTATCTGTTTCTTTCAGAAGATCTTTAATGTATTTTTGTTGTGAAATGAAGATTTATTTGCTGGAGTAGGCTACTTCAATTCTGAGAAAGTATTTTAATCTACCAAGTTCTTTGATGTCGAATTCTTTGGTAAGACTTTTCCTTAAACTTTCTCTTCTTCATTATTCACAATCAATATAATATCATCCACATATACTAATAATATTGTGACTCCCCTGAGTCTGAGTGTTTAAAGAATAGTATATGGTCCCCTTGACTTTGTCGATATCCATTAAGAAGGATGAATTTTGATAATCTTCCAAACCAGACCCTAGGTGATTGTTTTAGCCCATAGAGGGCTTTTCTTAACCTGCACACCTTGTCACTTCCGGATTTTTCATTAAATCCTGGTAATATCTCCATAAATATCTCTTCCTTCAAGTTACATGTAGGAATGCATTTTTTATATCTAGATGTTCTAGATGCCAGTTGTATTAGCTGCTTGTGAGAGTAGGATCCTAACAATGTTCATTTTGACTATTGGGCAAAGGTTTCCGGATAGTCAATGCCATATGTTTGAGTATACCTTTCGCCACTAGTCTTGTTTTGTAACTTTCTAGTGTACCATCAGTTTTGTACTTTACAAAAAACACCCATTTGCATCTGATTAATTTTTTCCCTTTTGGAAGGTTGATGATTTCCCATGTATTGTTCTTCTCTAAGACCTGCATTTCATCTTTCATGGCATTTTTTCAATTTTCATTAGATAAGGCCTCAGAAATATTATTAAGAATATGAATATCTTCTAGTGTAACTAGAAAGTTTTTGTATGAGGATGAAAAATTATTGAAGGAAATGGAGTTAGTTATGGGGTACAAGGGAGGTGGTGAGGTTGTATTTACCTTAATTTCAAGAGATGATTCAGATTCTTGGATCTACTTCAGACCATAGTTTGAACTTGTACGCCTATAACATTCCTACATCTACTGACAACTTTGTCCTTAGTTTCCGTATTTTTGAGTTCAAACTATAAGAGTTTTGTTCGTCAAAGGTAGCATCAACAAAGAAAAAGTTTTTTCGTTGGAGGATGATAGCATTTATACCCTTTTTGGGTGGCTGAATATCCAACAAAGATGCATTTGAGTGCTCTTGTATCTAATTTTTCTCTATTTGACTATGAATATGAATACAGGCAGTGCATCCAAAGATTCTGAGTGTAAGGTTACTACAGGTTTGAAACTGGGGGTAAAAGAAGGAGAGGATATCCATTAGAGATTTTAGTCCCAAGGCTCTTGAAGGTAGTCGGTTTATGAGGTAAGTGACAGTTAAGAGGGCCTCTCCTTAATAGAATTTGTGTGTATTGTGGTGGAATAGGAAGGTACGAGTGGTGGATATAAGGTGACCAATTTTCCTTTCCGCTACCCCATTCTGTTATGGGGTGTGAACGTAGGAGGACTTTCACATTGGAAGTAGGAGGATAGGGTTTGGTTGAAATAGTCTTTAGTATTTTCAAGACGAAATTTTCTTATTTTCATCCCAAATTAAGTCTGGATCATGGTGTGAAAAATGGGAAGAATGGTGCTAACGTTGGATTTATTTTTGAAGAGATAGATCCAAGAGACTTGAGTGCAATCATCAATGAACGACAGAAACCAACATGCCCTAGAGATGTTAGGGATTTTTAGGGTCCCCATATATCGCTATGAATAAAATAGAAAGGAGTATCACAATCTCGCAGTTTTATTTGGGAATTAAGCTCTTTTATGTTTGGCTAACTCAAAAGTTTCACAATGAAAATGTTCATTTTCTAACTTCTGAAAAAATTTTGGATACACATATTTTAGGATATCAAAAGAGGGATATCTTAATCTATAATGCTGAAGTCATATAGTGGATTTCATATCAACTAGAGATAACATAGAATAGCTATTTTTAGATTTGTTCAGCTATTCTAGGTAGTACCATCCAGTTCTCTCCTTAACAAGTTCAATCGTCTTCCCCAATCTCTGGTCCTAAAATAAGTAATAAGCTGGGCTAAATATTACTTGGCAATTGATGTAGGCAAAGGGGGGTCAAATCAAACTCAAAAAAATTTGGTTTTGATTTCCCTTGAGCTTACTAGCTCAATAAATTTTGAGCTGAAATTTAGCTCATTATGAGCCGGTTTTTAGTTCATTTATTGAACTAAAGGTTAGCTCATTATTAGCTAGGTTTTAGTTCATTTATTATCTTATTTATGTAG